TCCTCAACTGCCTTCTCCTCCTCTAACAATTCTTTAACTCTGCTGTCATCCAGCAATACAATTGCCTCCTTTCCTGCTTCTGATATATTTAAAGGATTATTTATTGTTGGTCTTGATGTTGCTAGCAAGAGGCTCCTCAAAATTCTCCCTTTCTGTCCTTCTTTTATTTCCCCCACTTCCTCCTCCTCCTCCATTATAGTCTGTGTGCATCTCCTTTGGACAAGCTTGCGCTCCCCTTTTGCTTCCTCATTTGGGCAAGACTTCCATTTTCTGAAGGAAGCCTTTTTTCTAACAGCTTCCTTGACCTTGCTTGCTAACCATGCTGGTGACCTCTTGGATTTCCTGCTTCTTTTCCTTACCTGTTTTATACATTCTAGCTCAGTTTCTATTATTGTGGCTTCGAGTGACCTTCAAGCATTTTACAGAGGCTTAGCCCTCTTGACTTCTGCTTTCAGAGTCTTTTTTCTAGTTTTCTCATTTTAGAAAAGTTTCCCTTTTGAAGTCAAATATGGCTGTGTTAGACTACTTCGGCAATGTTCCACCTGTGTGTGTGTGTGTGTGTGTGTATTACATCTGATAGTGATGTGGTCATCGTTTCCAGCTGGTTCAGCAGCATGTACCTCTCCTACTAATCCCTGGCTGACACCACTCAGGGTTAACTCCAGGATCACCTCAGTCCACGGCCAGCTGTTCTAGGGTACAGTCATTTACTATATTGAGTAATGTAACCTCTTTGGCATGACTTGAAGATATGTTTATGCAGCCCATGTGGGAATAATTAAAGTTACCCTTTCTTGCATCCCCTCCACATTTGCAGGCTCCCCTGGTTTCGCTTTCCATTCCAAGGTCACCCTGAGCATTCTCAATTGCCAGTTATGTTCTGGTTTCCTGGCCTTTGTGCAGTTTTTATCGCAGTCTAAAAGCCTGGCATGGGTCTCCTAAGGCTTAGTTACTGGCAGCTTCACAGCATTTTTGTTTGTGTTTTGTCCGGTGGCTTGTTTTGCTTTGGGTTCCACCCACTATTGCAATGCAGCCCCCACCCAAAGAGCTTTGCTGAAAAAGAATCTGGCCCCAGGTTGAAAGAGCTGCAACACCAAGAGCTTCTGATTAGGTCCGAACAGCCATGTCCATGCTGGACACAGGGAGTCGACATGCTTCCTCTGGAACACCTGAAAGGGGAGCCAGCCCTTGTCCCTCCAGATCAGGGGCAAACGATCCATAAAACTCACATGGAATCAGCTCCAGCTCCAGGCCACTTTCAAGACAGTTCTTGTTCACTGCCAGCAGCATCTTCTTGTGTGTGTGAGAAAGGTGGGTCTTCCAGCAGGGTATCATGCAGGTAGCACATTGACCCTTTGGAAAGATGCTTCAGCTTCTCCGGAGACATCAGCTAAGGGCACGATCCTAGGCAGGCTTAGGAGGAGAAAAAGTCCTACAACTCACTCAGACAGTGCTCACTACTGTCTGTCCCTGCCTCTGTTTCCCCACTGTCTTTCTCATGACTTGTCCTTCCCATCCTTCTGGAGTGGAAAAGGAAGCAGGGCTCTGCATGAAAACTGGACAGTAGAAGTATAAGGGGTTTAGGTATGTCTGTGATGGATGGCCATTGTCATGGGAGGATTTTTCTCAAGTACAGTTTGAAAAACACAACTTCGTCCCAGGGGGCAGTGAGGGTGTTTTTGGAACAGTTTTGACACCAGAACCATCCTCCTTTCTGTCAAGGCAGATTGTTCCTGGCAGCCTTTCCTTCCCAGTGTCTTGGCTGCCTGCTCTGAACTATCCATTTTTGGACTGCCCTTCTTTTCTGCCACTCACTGGGAGATACCACTAAAGAGAACTGGGGGAAGGACAATTTTTCTCAGCCCCACAGAGACAGAATGGATGAGTCTGCAGGTTCTTTTGAACTGCTAGAAAGGCTGCCTCATGGCAGTGATGTTGGGAAGAGAATGACTGATAGGGTCACATGAATTTGTCCATCTCAGTTTTTATAATTGTACATTTGGAACATCCCAGACTTTAGTAATTTTTCCAATATTAGGTTTGGTTCATGAATCCTGGGAGTTCTTGTTGAAATTTGGGTGGATATTAGGGTACATTTCTGGGTGCATTTCTCTGGATAATTATCTTTCTGAACTCAGTTTTGCTGCGCATAAAGGTAAAGGTTTCCCCTTGACATTAAGTCCAGTCATGTCTGACTCTAGGGGGTGCTGCTCATCTCCGTTTCCTAGCCAAGGGAGCCAGCGTTTGTCTGCAGACAGTCTCCATGGTTGTGTGGCCAGCATGACTAAACACCGAAATGCACAGAACGCTGTTACCTGCCCATCGAAGTGGTACCTTTTTATCTACTTGCATTTGCATGCTTTCAAACTGGAAGGTTGGCAGGAGCTGGGACAGAGCAACAGGAGCTCACCCCGTTGTGCAGATTCGAACTGGCGACCTTTTGATCAACCAGCCCAGCAGCACAGCAGTTTAAACCACTGCGCCACCTGCGGTCCATATATGCACGCAAATGCTTGCATAAAACTCAGTTTGAAACATCTTCACTAGTGATAGACATACTTATCCTGAATGAATGCATCATTTCCTTGAAAAATAATAAACTCACCCATGTAGGCTCAGATGAGAATGTTCCTTCAAAGTGAACACTCATTCCTTGTAAAAGTACTTTTGCACGTGCATAGTGTTAAAGTGCTATAATTTGGAACGGTGCCGTGCCTCCTCAGAGCCAGAGCTGTGCCAGTGACAATGAGAAAAGCCTCTGTGTGTATGCGTGTGTGTTTGGAGGAGGCCTTCCAAGTCTTCCTAGAACAGCATGTAGGGTCTGAGCAGTGGCAGAAGAACTGAAAAAAGAAGCAGTACCAGATCAGGCCAGGAAAGGGTTAATCCAACCAACTCAGCTCATGCCCAGAAATGACATTGTTTAGATTCAGATTCATTTCGATTGTAATAGTAAATCCATAAACTCCCACTCCAGGCTTGTTGAAAAGATTGACAAGCATTACAAATGGGGGAGATCCGACCAGCAAGTGGGTGAGTGATGGCATTTTTACTAATATGTGCATTTTGCCCACATTTTCCATGATCACATACATTTTGTGTGTATATTTTGCTTGGAGAATTCTATTGCAGAATTGGAAGGGTGGCAAACTTTGAACAGGAACTAGGTTTCATTTCTCAAATGTATTTGAAAGTACAAAGCTAGGTATGTTCATTAAAATGCATCCCAAATTAATTTGCTCCCCAGCCCAAATGATGACTTACTAGTGGGTGAGTAGTGGGTGAGTAAGAGCGTAACTCGTCTCAGGCAAGAAGGGAACTCAGTGCGAGAGGCTCCCACAGGGCGGGCACCTTGCTCCCTCCAGATGCTTCATGCTGCCACTCCTGTAAGGCCCGGCCTAGCATGGACAGTGGTCAGGGAGGCTGGGAATTGCAGTGCAAAGCGTCTTGAGGGCACCCGTTTGCCTACTCTGTGTGAGTCGCTGCAGCTGGTTGGTCTCTTTCTTGAGCAGCCAAGCAAGCGGGAGTAGGCTCTGACCCAGCTGGCTGGCTGGCAGCTCAGCCAGTGACTCATAGGAGAACACACAAGGATCAGTGTGCATTTAAATTTGCCATGGCAACAAATAGTCCACCAGCGATAATTACACAGATTGTCATGGAGACAGGGCAAGGAATGCGTTCCCAGTGCTTTGGGGGAGAAAGACCATATCTGATGCTCCTAGCATTGCACCCCAGGGACATGAGAGACGGTGTTCCTGAAAGCCTAAAGGGATGTTGTCAGCCAGAGTCCCCCTGAGGCGCTTATAGATACACCATCCTGCCTTAAGCTGAGCTTAGTCCATGCAAAGATAAAGGAGAGGGTTAAGAGTGGGAGGTAGTAAAGAATGGAGAGTGTCCCTCTGCACCTCTCCAGTCTCCCCTGAGCCCCATGGCATCATCACAGCCCTGCGCTATCTCCACGACTTGTTGATAAGCTCCCACTGGGGGAATCTCACCCTTTGCCACAGGGAAGCACAAGGTGGTTGGCAGTGCTCCACCCATGGGCTTTGGCCTGAGCACAGGATTTTGCTGGCCTTGGGACCCGCCTCCCTCCCCTCCGTTCGTCAGGCTCCATGGATGCTCACAGCGCTTTTCACCAACAGGAGCTACACAGAGTGCGCAAGGGCTGTTTTTCACATCTTTCTCCGTATTCAACATCTCATTGTGCAGCTCTGCTTCCCTCCTCTTTCCAGCCTTGCCTGGGGAACTCTCCTTAGCCCCTCACCCACGAAGGAGCTGTGTGGGGCCTTCACATCCTGAGGAAGCGCAAGAGTCCCTGACGCTTTCGCTGCAGTGGGTGTCACTGGGCCGCCTCCCTTAAACCTCGGCCGGCGAGCGCTGGCTGCATCACCTGGAACGGGGCTGTTGTGGAGGAGCAGTGCTAAGGCTCAGGAGATGGGAGAAAATGTGTCAGGGATTCAGGGCAGCTAGTGGCCCTTCTGATGCTGTTGAACTGCAGCTCCCATCACGCCTCGCCATTGGCTACACATGATGGCAACTGTAGTCCAGTGACATCTGGAAGGCCACAAGTTGCTCTCTCCTGATTCAGGGGGAGGATATGGTGAGAAACATAAATGGGGAGGGGGTGACTTCTACCCCCGAGAGGTTCAGGCAACAGAGCATGAGCCGCCTGCGGGCGACAACTTGATGGATGCGCATGTGTGCATGTCGGACACTCTCGGCATTCGTGTCTGTGAGAAAGCAAAGACTCTCTGACCATAATTGCAGGATAAGTTTGGACAGTAGCAACCGTGCTTTTAATAGCCGTGAGACCTGTTAAACATTTCCCACCTGCAAAAGGGATTGGGGCAAATCCCCGAGAAATCCCCCCTGCTCTTCCCCCGTCTCCAGGAGTGACGGCAGACCTGACTCGGAGGCAGAGCACTCAGAATGGGCATGTTGTGGAGAAGGTTCCCTTCTGGCACGTTCTCTCCCCTTAACAGGCCTCACCGGCAAGGCCAAGGTCAAAAGCAGTGCCGGTGGACAATGAAAGGCCCCTTCTCATTGTAGGCCTGCCGATTGATCCACACATTCTGGAAGGCGTTGAGGGAAGCCACAATGGAGCCTCCCAACCAGGCAGAGAAGGTGCGGTTGGGGGAAGCCAGGATGCCCACCTTTCCCGCGGGCTCCAGTTTCTGCAGTTCCTTTTTAATCCTCTCGGAGAAGCCACGGAGCATGGTGGTGCCACCGGCCAGCAACACGTTGGACAGCAACTCTCCCTGTCTCTCTGGCTTACATTTTCTGATGCTGTTTATGGCTTGGACATGAAGTCCCACCTCTGGGAAGCCCAGCATGGTTGGGTTGAAGAGAATCTCTGGGCAGCGAAAACGCTCACTGCTAATAGAGATGACCTGCCTGTCAGGAAGAGTGTAGTCCATGAGATAGTTCTTCTCATCTGAATTCAGTTCCAACTCGTACTGCTCCGGGATATAACAACACCTCTCCTTGATCTGACACACCTCCTCCATTTCCTCCTTATGAAAGGGGTTCCCAGATTCCCCCATCAGCTTGGCTAGGTATTCTGTCAGGGCTTTGCCTGCTATGTCCAGTCGGTAGGTTGCATGGGGCAAGATGTATCCGTCATGCACAGGAGCTGTGTAGGATGTCCCATAGCCAGAGCCAATCACTAGCCCACCTGTGCGCCCGTAGGAATACACGGACAGAAGGGACTGGTGGACTACAAACATGGCCGGCACTTCAAAGTTTTCAAATAAAAGCTCAGCCATTTTCTCCCGGTTGGTGGTTGGGGACATGGGGGAATCTGTGACCAGGACGGCCAACTCTTCTGGGCAAACACTGAGCTCGGTGTAGAAAACATGGTGCCAGAGCATCTCCAGGGCGTCCCAATCTGTCACCACGCCGTGAGTCATTGCCACGTGTGTGCTCACTTCTGCGTGCCGGCGTGGGATGCTCTTGCCAATGTAGTAGAGGGGGCTCTCCGGCGTCCTGTACCTGGGCACCCCCACCACGCTTGGCACAACGGACCTTGGCTTCTCGTCTCCGGCAAGGCCGCTCTTGGTGTAGCCAGTGCCAGTGTCTATTACCACAGCGGCGTAGTCCTTGTACTTCTCTGATGTGTCTGACACAGAGGCGGAGGCCGAACTGCTGGAGCCAGGCTTGTGGCTTGCAGGACCAGGGCTCTTTGGCTTCTTGTAGGAGCTCATGGTGACGGGCTGCTACAGGCTCTCTCACTTTTTGACAGGCTCTCTCACTTAGCCTTGACACAACCAAAGACCAGGCTTCAGTCCCACAACCTCCACGCAAAAGGAGCAGCTGCCCTAACAATACAGAAGATATGTACTAGGTTGCCATGGCAATTGCCTGTGACATAAGCAGAGCAGAGTGGCATCATAAGAGTGGTGGAGCATGAGAGAAAGTGCTCGTTCTAAGATAGATGTGGAAAAGCAGCTGAGATTCATACAACAGTAGGGTCGGAAGGGGTCAAGAATACCACCAGGTCCAACCTCCTGATATTTTATGGATTCATCCTGGCTAGGGAACTAAAGTAGGCTCTGGAACAAGGAAGCGATGTCTGTAGGACAAGGATCACGCTCATTTGGAAGTTATGCTGGGTTAAGGAGGGCACAGCCGGGCCTGAGAGCACCTTGGGTGGTCCTCTGCAAGAGCTCCTGGGCTGGGAATGATTCCTTATGGGAGGAGCGGTGTTCCAGCAAAGGATGGCCAGCAACCGAGAACTTTGGTAGGCCAGTCTGTGCAGGTCCTTCTGAGGTCCCATCTCTCACTCAGCACCAGCTGCAGCCTTCTTAAAGGGCCACGCTCCTTCACGTGGCCTTAGCTCCTATGCAGCCACAGGACCTGAGAAGCGTTGGGAGAAGCCAGTTGGGGAGGCTGAGTTTCTTGGGAGGGCCAAATCCTTGGGTCTAGGGGATGCATCAAGGGTTCTCTGAGGTGACCAGTATCTTGCTCAGCTCAAAATCCTCTTTGGGGTGATGCCAAGCCACCACACCTGTTTTCGTGGCAGTCTCCATGCTTGCTGTACTGTCTGGATCGCTTTTAATTTTCTATGGGTTTATCTTCTGCTAATTTTAAGGCTGAAGGGCATGGAAATTATTGGAATGCTCTCATATATTCTAGGCTATCTTTCAAGGCAGAAGCCCACCCAAGATGGCTTACCACATTCTCATTCTAATAATAGTAATAATTCTTTTAAAGCACGATAATACGACAGCAAACATTCATAAAACACCAGACACCAGAAATAAAACATTACTAAAACTCTACAGCATAATTGCAGCTACAGAGCAGAACTGTCCAATAAAACATATTCATAGGAAAGCCAGAGTAAACAAAGAGTCCTCAGAATCTTCCTGAAACCCTCTAACGGTGGGTTTTGACAGACCCCTGATGCTATTCGTTCCTGATGTGAGGGGTCTCGGCACAAAAGGCCCCTCTCATGCACTCGCTTCCCTAAGAGTCCACAGCTGTGGGCAAGTGAGAAGGGCCTCTGCTGCCAGTCTTAAAAGGCAGGCAGGAGAGAGCCAGGGTGGTGGTGTGGCCACGAACACAGGACTGGGACTCAGGAGATCTGGGTTCTGCTCTCCACTCAGGCATGGAGCCAACTGGGAGGCCTCGGGCCAGTCACAGACTCTCAGCCCAACCTACCTCACAGGATGGTTGTTGTGAGGATAAGATTGAAAGGAAGAGGAGAATTATAACCTTGAGTTCCTTGAAAGGAAACATGGCGGGATAGAAATAACTAAATAAATATGGGTGAAGACAGTTCGCTTTTTCTGGGAGAACTGAATGAAATACGAGAAGGCTAAATAAGGAACTTGCCCAGATTCACTCATTTATTTCATTTGTACCTCACCTTCTCACCAAGATGAAGGGACTCGAGGCAGTTAACAATCATAGGAAATCAAAATAAAATGAAAAAAACTTGTGAGATAAATAAGAAGAATAAAACGCTGGTTTTGCAATAACTTTGAAACTAACCAAGTGAATCATAGAAATGATCAAAGTTAACAGCAAGCATTGCTAAAAATCAAGGAAGCAAATCATTTGCAGGGCACATGGAGTCCGGCCTTGGGGGGGGGAAGGTATTGTGCTGACAGGAAAGACGAGTGACGTAATTATGCCAACAAAAGGATTAAGTGGGAATTTGAGGGGAGTGGTGGCATGTCAGGAATGATGATGAAAGACGTTTGGGCAATAGAAAGAGGATCTAGAACCATATAAGGCAGAAAACAAATTAGGGACTCGGGTCTTTGAAAATGTGGTAGTGGGAGATGTCAACAGGGGTGGTCCTTCACGTGATCAGTTTCGGCAGACGGGATAGGCTGTAACCCCAACAAACCCTATCCAGTGGGGTCTCAGGGGAGGGAAATATGCGGCTGGATACAGGGATAAAATGGAGTGATTCAAGCTGATTGTGTGTACCTACCTGTAGGGCGCACCCGCTTTTGCAAAAGCGGTTCTTTTAATAAATTAGTGCTGGTTGAACTTGTGTTTGTCAGAACCTTGTTTTCTAGGAATTTTGCTCACACTTGGCCAAATTGTAATGAAAGGACATTAAAACAGTGAAGCACACACAACAATAACAGACTAGAAGGAGCATCTGACCCACCAGACCAGTGTAGGCATGGAAGGCTCAGGCACCTGATGACAAAGCTTGACCCACTGGTGGACAGAGAGCAGAGTCTGAGCCAAGCTCACCTCCCTCAGCCGGGAGCTCCACCGCTTGTGGCCGGAAAAGACCCTCCCTCAAGTCGCACCACACACATCTCTGAAGGCAGCAGCCTCACGTAGAATAAAGAGGTTTCCCAACTTAATCTCACATACGGTAAGTTTGTCTATATGCTCTCAGGCCACTTAGGGCATTATAGGTTCTAACCTGCCCTTTTAATTGTGCATGGAAACAGACCGGGAGCCAGTGGAGCAGCTGCAGCAAGGGAGTTACACGCTCCCTGGAACAGGGCCCAGGCAACAGGCTCCGCAGTCTGGAGGAACTGAAGTCGCCAAACAGTTTCAGGAGCAGCCCCACATGGCATGTGTTGCAGCAGTCCAATGGGATGGAGCCAAGGTGGGTGTGACGGTGGTCAGGTCAGACGTTTCTGGGAAATGGTGCAGTTGTTAGTGGAAACTCTGATCAGGCCAGGAGCACAGCGATGTGGGAGCGGGGCATGGCTTATAAAGTTAGGTGTCGTTGGGGTACTGGTAGCCCCAAATCCTCAAAACCTGGCAAACCCTCCAAGCAGTTTCATGTATTGTGAAATAGCACAGGGGATAACATGGAAACCTGAGGAGGGCCACAGACCAAAGGGATCAGACGGAGATCCCTCAGCACCAATTTTTGAAATTGTCCCTGGAGCCATTCTAACTGGGCCTCCCAGTCCCACCTCAGACAGTCGCCTCATAAGGATACCCTAGTCAGTGGCAATGAAAGCCATCTAAAGTCCAACTGTGTCAACAGGGAGATGCTCCTCCTGACTCGTTCCCGGCATAGATCATCCACCACCGTGATCAAAACAGCCACGATGATGCCTGGAGTGAGACTGAAATGGGTCTAGATAAGTCGTCTCATCTAGAATCCTTGGAGAGGAGAGCTCACCACATGTTCCAGCATCTCGCCCAAGACTGGAATATTGCAGACTTACCGGCGATTGTCCAGTAGAGAAAGGGTCAGGAATGTGACCATCACCTGCTGGGGCAACACAGAATATTGCTTTGCAGGAAAGAGCTGTTCACTGACTGAGGCAGCCAGTTCCCTGTTTCCCCAGGTGCTTTTATAAGCCAGGAAGCCAGGTCCAGTTTGCAAATGGCAGGGTCACTTGTCCGAGAATGTTTCCACATTGTTGGGCTGTACAAATGGAGAAACATCCATTATAAGCAGGCAAAGAGGGGCCAAAGGTACAGCCACAGGACCTATGATGCTATAACAGAACATGCTATACAGCCCAGGGTCTTTTCAATGCCAAGCTAGTACCAAGCCAACCACATTCACCAGGCCTATTCCACACCTGCAGCTTTGGATTTGGCCTTTGGTCCTGCATTTTAGCTGCCAGACCATCTTGTCTCACAGCACAGCTCTCTTGCAGGCCTGCAGTGCTGCACAGCAGGCCCAGATATCTGCTACGCAAAGGTACATCACGCAACAGCACTGCATTCCACAGGAAACCAGCCCCATCTCTGCATGAGCTTGTCTTCCAAACCAGAGGGCTCTTGCCACCGGATCCTCTGTGCAAACCCCTCACCCCCATTTCTTAGCAGCCTCAATGATTGTGTGTGTGTGCAACATAAAAGTCTGAACAAAGATAACCATGTGCTGTGCATGTGTGAGTGGAAGAGAGAGAGAGAGAGAGAGAGATTCCCTCAATGACCATCCAGGGCACAGATGTTGCTGTGAGCTGGGGGAAGTGTGTTGCGCTGAAACTGCTGGTTCTACACTCTCAGTTTGCTCAGCATGGAAAATGCTTCTTCTGCATTACCAGTGCGGGGAAATGTAAAGTGGATGCAGGGAATATGGGTTAGTCTGGGTGAAGGTAATGGCAAGGTGGGGGTTGCAGGTCATGTGTGCAAGTGCCACATGAGAATCAGGGGTAGCCTTCCCTATGCTGGCTGGGGGTGATGGGAGCTGTAGTCCCACACATCTGAAGAGCCCTAGATGGGGAAGGTTGGGAAAGGCTAGGTTGGGCTATGCGTGATTTTCTATTTATATTCCTGCAGGAGTGAGTCACTGCTTTCAATTAGTCCAATTAGGTCTTAATTATTAGGGCATGAATTTTGCTCAGAAAGACATGTGCTTCAAGGCGGCTGTGCCTCTGGTGCAACTGGAGGATTGTATTTGGCTTGCACTTTTAAGCAAACTGACCTAAGCTGCTTTGCACTATTCAGACGAAGGTGCCCATTAGAACACACTTTTCCTTCAGACTCTGCAGCTCTCCAAATTCTGTAGTGCAGTTCTTGGTTCACTAATGCATGTGGCATTAAGAAGGTCAGGAAGAAATGCAGAAAAATCTCTCTGCAAATGTCCAGGAGGCGTTTAAAGAGGCCACATTAAAAGAGGTCAGAAGGGACTTAAACAACATGGATGGAACTGACAGCCTGGAAGCAGTCTGAGCTGCCATGCCAAGTGTAATGGCAGGAAGCTCCTTCAATAGTCTGCATCCCGATATATTTGTCTTTACTTCCAGCTCATGTCCAC